AGGGGGCTCGATCCCAGGACCCTGAGATCAGGCATGACCTGAGCCAAAAGTAAGAGTCAGCCACTCAACGGACTGAGCCACCCAGGTACTCCAATACTCTTATCTTGGATTGCAGGATGAGGACCTGGAGGCTGGGAGAGGTGAATTAACCCACCTGGAGTTGTAGGGTTTGATAGCCGCACACCGGCAATTGGAACCTAGGTCAACCTAGGTTCTCTGCCACAGAGAGCCCAACCAACCACTTCCAGAAGGGACACAGCTGGGGGTCAGGAGCCCTGCATATGCACCTGAGGAATTCCAATATCCCCACTGAAAGGGAAAACCTTCAAATGAGATGCAAATGCCTCCCAACTGAGCAAAGGAGAGGTCTTCCTCCAACACCAGGGCCAGAACTGGGGGTGGAGGGACGGAGGATTTCTTGGGATTCCTGTGGCAAAGCTGGGCAAGTAACTCTTGTGCAGCTGGAGATGGACCTGGTGCTTCTCCCACCTTGGTAGGAATGACCAGGGCAGAATGCCCCCTGCTACCACCCCTGCCGGTCCCAGAGCCCTCAGGACGCCCGCGGCTGCTTCTCCCTCCCCATGAAGTCCCTGTCTCCATGGGGGGGCGGGAGGCTGGGCCCCTGTCTGTCTGGAGCCCACCCCCAGCAGGGCGATCAGGGCAGGCGCAGTGTCCAGGGCTGCTGGGACTAAAGGGCCTGTGGAGGGAGGGAGCTGAGTTAAACATTAGCCCCAGAGGCCCCCCACGAAGTGAGTCAGACTCCCCGCAGGGATCTGGGCTGGGCAGCCAGGGGGGTAGTTTCGTTCCAGGTGGGTGATCAAGCTACTGAAAACTGGATCAGGTTGCTGGGACCCGTGCAGATGGCAGGTCCTCTCCTAACATCGGGGTTCTCTCCTCAAAAATCCCCGAGGCTTGCCGGCCGAGGCTCCTTCATTGGAGCTGAGGAACAAGGAACCCCTTACTCCCAAGACACAATCCTAAACTGGCCTGTGGGTCCCCTGAGGCTGAGCAGCGTGAGTCCCTATAGCCCCAGGGCCCTGGCACCAGAGAACTATGGTCAATGTCTGCAGGCCCAGAGAGGGAAAGTGACTTGTTGAAGGTCACAGATATAATTGGGATGCAAACATAGGTCCTTGGACCCCCAGTCTCCTGAAAAAACTGGAT